CTTTTGATACAGCACACGGATGTCCCTTTACCATGAGAAACAGAGATATAGAACGGTCTATTTATGTACAATATCATTCCTTCTAGCCAAAACTAGTTGGCTAGAAGGAATGATATTGTACATAAATAGACCGTTCTATATCTCTGTTATATAGACACACTGATACACAGTCAGTATGGAAGAATACTATAGGCGTGCCAGCATATAAAATGTGTATTTAAATGGGTGTGATAGTGGTGTACTCTAACAAGGGCTAAATTTTGACCCTACTTACCTCTACAAATCCTTATTGAAGAGGGCTTATGGGTATAACTAGGTCACAGTTTTGTTACTAGAATTTAAAGGGAGGTTTTCCTCTGAAAAAGGTTCCAGTGAATGGCATTGTGGATTCATTGTCCCTCAGTGACTTTCATATCTAATGTGTTTAATTCTTTCTAATTCCCAGTCCTGAAAACTCTCACTCAGCTAAGTCATGCTAATTTCTTTACTTTCCATGCCTCATCACCTCTAAACAAAGACCAGTTACATCTAAGCAAGCCCTATTGTGCTATGGTTCTGCCCTTAATGACTCCTGTGCAATCTTATTACCTTCAGTGGTTTTGTGCAGGTATAATTGATTGTCCTTAATACCTGGAACTTATTAAATGGTTTTGCTGATGTACAACAATGAACAAAAGCTAACTTGTCTTCTTTCTTGGCATTGCACACTAATGTAAAATGAGTAAAAGAAACACGAGCACTTTTGTCACTAAAGTAATAAGACTATACATCCCCCCCCAGGAATAAATCAGATGAGTAAGAATGTGCCATGTTAGTATATTAAAGTCTCTTTTCAGAGTGGGACTGCCCTATACTCTGCCACCTATAGTACTGTCAAGGCTTTAATGCTTGGCTATTAAATTTACTTTTCTGAAACTTTTCCCCTTTTTCTAAACATTTTTGCATGGAAAACAGCTATTTTTCTTGAAAAGAAAAAGTTTAACTCTTATATCTAGCTTTGACTAGTTGTCATGGCTATTTTTCTAAATTTTGAAAAATAGCTAAATTGAAATCTGCTCTACATTAACTTTTCTTAACATTTCCCTTAACACTAATCTGTATGAACATCAGAACATCAAAGTGTACAACTGGTTTGACACCCTCTGGGATGCTGTGAGTATGTTCTGTTGGATCAAAGAGGCATGTGTTGGGACATTTTGATCTTGTGTGAAGGATCTTAGTTGCACAATGGTACAAACAGAGATAGAGATGTTTTATAAAGTGATTGCTTTTTAGGAAAGGATGTTAATAAATATGATTCTCCCCCTCCCTCAACTGCAGTAAAATAATTGTTAGTTTCTGAATAACACCAACCCAAAAAAAAGGAATTGTGTCCAGTCTTGGATGCTATAGATTTTTAACTCTTACACTAGTGTAACAAATCAATCACTTGTGCTATATATATATATATATATATTGTATATATAATTTTAATGGATTGTCTCCCTTGGAGAGGAAGTTTTCTGAAAATCTGTGTCCCACCCCACAATTTTTGGTTGCACCACTGGGGACAAGATCAGGGAATGACTTTTAGGCCATATTGTTTGAAACTAAGCATAATGTGGGAATGCATATGGGAGTGGCTTCCTTTACTTTGATTGCCCTTGTTTTTATCAATTTAAATCACAACTTCAGCATTATTTGAAATTGAAAATTTTGCCTTCACAAAGCATATGAAGATGTCTTTTTGAATCAAAGAGATAGATTGCATCCCATTTCAAAATACTCATGTCTTTATTCACTGAGCTTGTTAAATGAGCAAATTCCATTCTAAGCTTTTGAGTTTTCAAATACCTTCTTAGACATTTTTTAGTTTCCTGTTTGTGATTTCACAGTTGTACATATTAAAGTCTCTGTATATATGTTTTAATATCTTCTGAAATGTAGTCCTTCAATACTGTATGTCAGCTAAAAGACATTCACATCCACCAGAAGCATTTCTTTTTCACCTTTTTTGTTTTTCGTCTTAATTCTTGTTTCTCAGGAATTGGATGGTCAGGTGATAATTTGGGGGCTGGAGCCGTGGCAGGTGTTTGCTCCACTTGATCCAGTGTTTTCAAAACCTGATGAAATCTGCCTTCTTGTTGTCTGAAGTCATATTCCACACTGTGGAATACATGGGAAAAATAAGTTAGTAAGTTGTAAATTACCAATTACAAGGAGAGAAATATGGAAAATATTTTTAGACTTTGCTGCAAAGAATATTTCCTCTTTCAGAGTTGACATGATAGAGGCTGACTCAAATTTAAACAATTGTAGGCTGTGCTGTTATGATGTGGTCCTGTGTAGCAATTGTTACTCAAGTGAGTCATCTTTACTCACATGAGGTGAAGGTTGTGGGATTGGGCCCAAGGTGATTCATTCAGAAATTAAGTAAATGCACAAATAGGAATATCCCTAAAAACCAAACCAGGATCAAGCAATCACAGCTGGGAGGTCTTACTCAATACAATTAGGCAACATTTTACTTCATTCCAATAACTATTCATGCATATGCTGCTTCATTCACCCATTTTTTTCCTTCTCAGATTATATAAACAAAAAAGAAAGCAAATTTGCCTACCATAGGTAGATACATTTATCTATATGTGTGTGTATCTGTGTATATATAAACATTTTCCTAGAACAATTTAAAAATTACCATAATAATGAAATTGACCCATACAATTAATCTTCAGTATGCTATTTAATTCATGGTAGCCCACATGTTCCATAGTATGGAAAGGTTGCTAATGCTGATTACTTTTTTATTACAGTGTAAAATGAATTGTCACATAAAAGCCTGTTTAAACTGTCAGTGAGTTAAGTTTCCTAATGGTGTTTTTTTGTTTAATAGAAGATGTATTCTTGCTCCTGTGAGTGGGTGTCACTTGTCTTCAATGATTCTGCCTCATTGGGCTGCATTATTATTGATAAAGATGTCAAGGATCACCTGCATGCATTAATAGTAAACAGCTTAATCATAAAACAGAATTGCTTCAACTTTACTATACTTTTCTAAATAAGTCATTTCTTGACTGACGTTTTTCTTCCCATATTCATTGGTAGATAAGAGTAGCCATTTGATGCTGATTGTCTTGAACACAAATGCCATATGTTAAAATTAATGAGCAGCATACTAAATATTCACCAAAAGAATCAAAATAACCTGTTTTATCATCAGTTTGTTGATTTAATACAACAGTATCTTCAAAAGGCCTTAATCATGATCAAGGTTCTATCATGCTAAGTATTATAAAAAAATAAATTACATGCTATGGTTTCTGCCATGAAGTGTTTACATTAAAATCTAGAGACCAAGCACAACAAATGAATGTTACTAAAATCAGAGGGGAAGGAGAATGAGGATGAGGGTAAAAATAATGAGAACATGGGTTTCTGTAGTCAGTGAGAGTTAGTTTGTGGTTCCAAACCAGTTAAAATCTATTTGTGGGTGTATGTTTCAGCTATTCCCAACTGGGAATTACCTGTAAATGTTAAGTTAGAAGAGGGTTTTGAGGAAGAATTTGAATGAGTATAGGATAGTGGCCTTTCAGACTAGATCAGGGAAGATGTTTGTTTTACATAGGGAGTGCAAAAGAAAACACACATGTCCTGGTAGGGAGTACTGGACATAGTCAATTCTGGTATCACTGGTAGAGGATGAGGATATGCAATGAGGCAAAAGAATGAATAAGAGAGTGGCATAGCTGTGGATGCATTAAAAGTGAGGACAAGAAGACTGCACTTGTGCAGGAGAAGAGAAGGAGCTAGTGGAAGGATTAAAATGGGCATAGGGAAATCTAATGGTCCAAACCACAAGTAACAGATGATTTTAGTAGTTCCTATTCGAATGGTCAGGAGGGGGAACCATATGGATGTTGGGGAGAGAAGATGACTTACAATCTTTTGCCAAATTGCCCTACAATCATGGGTGCCTTACAGTGCCTTGATACTGAAGGTCCCAGGGATGCTCACAATCAGCCCATATGCATGCAGGTCATATCCTCAAGTGTCTGTGTGCTAGACAGCCCTGGTTCAGCATCTCTGACCCCAGCAGCCTGTCTGCAGCCCCACTCTGGTTCACACCAGCCTTGGTTACAAGCAGCAAGGGGACCCCAACACACTCCCAGTCCCAAATTTTCCCAGAACCATGTGCTTTGCAATGTCCAACCCTCTCTTGGAGAGGTCAGGGAAATAATAAGGTTCTTTTGTTCCTCTAAAGACACACAAAGAACACCACAGCTTATTAACTGGGGTAAATACACCCTTACATTTACATGAGTTGGTTTAAAATAAAAAACAAAAACAAATTCATTGACAATAGGACACAGGTTAAGGGATGTCAAGTAAAAGGAATAACGTTAGAGTTACAAGCAAATAAATGTGAAAACATTAAAAAGGCTAAAATTTAATCTAGCTAGGTACAAGCTTTGTTCAAGATGGTTTCTCACCTATACTCAGTTTCCAGAGACTTCAAACCCCCCTGCTTGTTGAAGGCCCATCAGTTTGCAAGAGCTCTGTTCACTTTTGTCTGTGTAGTGATGAATGCCAAAGATAGCGACTGTCTTTGCTTATATTTTCCCACCATCAATGACTTTGTTTAAAGAGGCAGAATTATCTCTTGCTGTTTTTCCCTTCCTGGGGGCTTGCCATTCCCCTGCCGATTTCTTTGTAAATAGAGCTTCCTTTGTTACTGATCACACTTTGCTTAATTTCTTTGTAGACAGGCAGATAGCTGCCTTCCCTCCTGTTTGGGAGAGAGCCTGTTTTTCCCTTGTTTGGTCACAGACTGGAAGCATAATGCCATTAAGTATCCATATTTTCTTCATATAGTGTTAATACTACATTTCACAGTAATAGTGATCACCGGTGTGTGTCATAAGCTTTCTGAAGAGACCTCACTCTATACACCTTTATAATACTGTAATATTGTATACAATTAGTTGATTCAATTGCCTATCGCTTGAGGTTCAGACCCCCTGTCTTTCTTGACCAGTAAACCTTGAAAATGGATTCTTCTGAGGGTTACCCCTCAAAGGAAAGTTTATTCAAGCTGTAAGGAAGGTGACATGGAGCCTAGTGATGAAGGAAGCTCCGTGCTCTTTCTTTCCCTGGGTGTTAGATTAATTTGTCCCCTTCTCCCTCCCCCCGCCAATATGTAAAAATGGACTTTCATTGTCTTTGCCTGGAGATAGGGCTGGTCAGAGAATCAAATACTCATTCCTTTGTCTAAGGCAAACCTGTTTACCAACTTCCCCTGACACGCTTGGTTTAAAAACACTTTAGTTAGAATTTCAGCATCTATTATAACTTTTTGTACACACCCTGTGCATACCTCATACAAAAATAATAATGATTAGTGAGTTGTTTTCAAATGATACCTCACAAGGTATATTTTGTACCAAGAGTATTACTGTAGTGTGTATGATGTGAATACAGGGATGCTTAGTGTCTCAGTGGTTGGCTATAGTCAAGGCAGAGTCTCTGTTCTCCTGTGATTAAATCTTTGTAGTTAGTCCTGGAGGATTCCTGTAGCTATAGAGAGAGCCAACCTTAAGTGAATGTCTAGCAGCTGTTCAGGGAGCCCTGCAGAGTGGTTCCCAAAACCGGGGTCTACCTGGCTAACTTAAGAAATTTATCAAGTCTAGAGAAGGAAGCGTTTAACGTAGCATCCAGATTTTGGGTCTAGGTGCTGGAGAAGATGGTTGTGACGTCAGCAGTGACAGAGAGAGTGGGGAGTGGAGGTTTCATGAAGAAGGTGAGGGTGGTGGAAGTGGTAGCAAGGAGTCAGAAATGGTGAATAGAGGGCTGAGATTGTGGTCACATGGGTCACTGAGGTGGGAAAAACAGAGCTGCTCGATTAGGAATATGGTAGAAATGTTGGAGGAGAGAATAAATTTGTAGAGGAGGAAGCCAGTGTTCTCATGGGACTTGATCCCTCTAGGGCCACTCAGTATCATGGGCACAGACATGGAGGACATGAATATTGTTGGTGAGCCAAGGATAGGATTTTGATGGGATGGTCCTGGAAGATGTAGAAAAGAGTGAAAGTCAAAGGTGATAGATAGAGCAGAGTTGAAATACTCAGCAGCTGATTCAGTAGAGGTGGTGAGTGGGAAGAACAGCACCATGAGAACTAAATATTTCATAATGTACATTTTGACATGTACTGGAGAGATTTGGGGGGGGGGAAATGTTGCACAGTATGACACAAGCAAACCTACCGAAGAACATCTGGTGCCTATATGCTCTGTAACTAAGTCTAATTCTGCAACCTCTATTCACATGAATAACCTTTATTTATGCTAGTAAGCCAATTGACTTCAACATGTCTGTTTATATAAGTCATGGGTCCAGTCCAGGTTAATGGGACTAGTCATGTATGTGCAGAGTGGAGGAGCAGGCCCTCACTTATCTTTCACAGGAAAAAAATGAAAGAAAAAGCTATCTTAATGAGAAAGGACCACAGAAGTTCCAGAGGAGTTATTAGTCATGCTTTTGTAAGCCACACTATCACTGATGTTCATGTAATTTGGTACACTTCTCCAGTCAGAACATGAGATCATCAAATCAGTTCCCTATATTGTGTTTAGAGCAATCATTAACAAATTTCCTTCTGTGACTAATCTGGACTGTAATTTGAAAACCAAGAAGATTAGCAGGTGTACCTTAACTTCTTGACTTAATCTCAGGGCATTGTGTACAACAGGCTATCATGATATAATATGGTGAATTGCACAATACCTTCAACTTGCTTGGAGTTACCATAGAATTTATCACAGAATCAGATCAACCTCTAGGAGGGAACATATCAAGCTAGAGTGACCAGATGTCCTGATTTTATAGGGACAGTCCCAATTGTTGGGTCTTTTTCTTATATAGGCTCCTATTACCCCCCACCCCGTCCTGATTTTTCAGACTTGGTGTCTGGTTACCCTATACCAAGCCAAGAGGAATGGGGGAGAGGTAAATTCTGCCAGCTTATCGTCAGAGTTTGCATAGGATAGGGTTTCCGTAGAAGCAACTGTCTCACTGATGTCATTTCCGTTGCCCAGCAGCACAGCATCTCCCCGCATTTGCAGGTCAAGTCTTGATCAGCCCCTTACAACTCTGGGCTGGCACAT